TTGGAAAATCATTTTCTACTAAGCGAAAAGTAACTGGATATCCTAAGATTTCTATCTGTGTCAGCCCTAAGGTGGTCACATTGTGTCCGTATGCATTGGAGCAGACGTCCACGGCGCAGTCGACGGCTGAACCCTTTTCGGTCAGAGCGGAGAGGGCGCTGGGTGTGGTCAAGAAGTGGATGGAGGACCAAGAGGCAATATTGTACCACCCGACAACGATTCCGGAAGTCGCGGCGGAAGAGGAGGTAGTGGAAGCGGAGAGTCCGATGTACGAGCCGATTACCCCGCCATTACCTACGGAGACCGAAGGGAGAGAGAGTAGGGAGGAATAAGTTTATGCGACCTGAAGAATTTCAGGGATCTTATAATATTTCAGTGTGTTTTCATTTCCTATAAATTTATATTTTTTAATTTTATGTTTACATTATTATGATTGATTACGAACTTTACGGCGTTATGTTATTTTTTGATTTTATATTTTACCTATTGGATTAAGTACGAAGGTTTATATAATTTTGGACTAAATGATTTAATAAGCATATTGGATTTTTTCTTTTATATATTTTGGACAGCATTATACAATTTGTATAGTACGGACGGATGGAAGAATGAAAGGATAAAATAAATAAAATAAAAGGTAAAATGATGAATAACGTTCCATCAATTAAAGAAAACCTTTACCTGGAATAGAAAACAATAATTATAAATGTAATGAAAATGTGATGACAATTCGGGCTACCAACAAATTAAGATAAGGTTAATCGATGCGTTAGCGTTTATTTGAACTATAATTTAGTATACATAGTTGTTTTGAAGTTTTATAAGCGAAGGCGTATCATCCGATCACCGGATGAATTAACCGGTCACGTGATTACCTGTAACAAAGAAACAGAGCGTTATTTTGAAAATGTAATCCATAAAATATTATTATTTTAGTTAATTTAAGAAATATACCAAGCGGCGAAGGGCTCCGAGCCAAAGTTGTCATCACACCTGTAATCAAAAAGTCCAAGAGTTAATTTGGTACAGGAAATAAGTTTGGTTTTAAAGAGTTCTCCACGCGAATAAGTAAAAACAGCCAGGTAAA